GCAACTGATGGCATGTAATGGGAGACATTAGATTGTCTGTTTCCTAGGCCTCTAGGAAAGAGAAATCAGAATCCAAGGGTGTTTATAAACATGCTCTGGGAAGCAAGGGTGGAAGGGGGGTGGTGGCGCTTTAATTAATGCAGCTCTGAGAACCGTGCTAATTAAAAGTGCCCAGAGCATCATGTGTACCGGTGTCTCCATGCTGAAAAATGGCAGTGGGGTGCTTTGAACTGAAGCTGGTTGAACGAGCTTTAGTTTAAAACACCCCACCACCATTTTTCGGTGCAGGGATGCTGATACGTGATGCTGGAGTCTGCTGGACTGCAGTAATTTCCACCCTCCAGCAGACTCAATTAATCAAGCCTACTCCAGTGCGCTGGATTCCAGCGTGTCGGAGCAGCCTCCCTGCTCATGTATAGGAGGCCCAAGTGTATTTTCTTGAATCCATTTTAAAAAAGAATTGTATCATTTTGTTCAGAGCTGTAAAGAGGATGTGAGGCAATTCTGAGGTCCCCTGGACACATGCTTACGTCAAAGTTCACATGATTACTCTTTAGGTCCCCAATTCAGAAAATCATTTACTGTATTTTATCACATCCTACACACCTTGCTTTTGGAAGGCAGAAGGTAAGATAAAAAATTTCCTAGAATTATTGCCTGTAGCTGGCTTTTTCATGGAGAGCCTATGAGCCTTATCTGTGTATGCTACATAAGCAAATGCACTAAATTTCTGCTTATCTTTCAAGAATTTGTTGAAGTGTGTGTCCAGTTAAACAAATGTGTGAGAATTGTCTTGAATAGGGAGGATTTCTTGACACACAGCCTAGATGCACTGTATCTTTTATATCATATGTGACATGATGATATGGGTTTGCTTTTCAGACTTTTAGGCACATAAAATTGTGTGCAGCCATGAGGATTGCATGTGTAAAGTTAACATATAAGTAGACATTTGCATGTGTAGTTGTAGTTCTGGGCAGAGACCTGAGAGGGACTCAAGCAACACATAAATACATCAATGTTTGCACATCTTCTTTACACTTCTGAATATCCGTTGCTTTTTGTCCTCCTAAGCATTCACTTGGCTGCCTGAACAGCAGTTGCTAGGTTTACTGTGAGAGAAGGAAAGTGTATGAATTTGTACAATAAAAACATAAATGCAATATTAAAACTTTGTTCTATATATCCTAGAAGATGAGTTTGTTTCCTCTAGGAAGATTTAGTAGAACAGTAAGTTTCCTAGAAGCCTCCAAGGAACCTTTATGTCCCGTTATAGTGTCAGAATAGACTTCCTAAAATCTGAGAAGAGATAAATCCTGATTTTTATGGGGTAATTTTTTAGAGTAATGCAGAAGGGAGTTACTCACATAAGTCGTGTAAAGGATAATGTGTTTGAACCTTTGCCCACTAAAGTTGAGGGAATTTTGCCATTAACTTTATTGGAAGGAGAGTTTGTCAGGCGAGGGAGGATAGTTTTATAGAGGAGGATGACAGACCTCTGAATTGAGCAAATCGCTTAATCTCTCTAGATGAAGAAATTCACCTGAGGTGCAGAGAGCAGCATAGTCCAGCTCAAGAATTAAGCTCTTCATCAAGGTTGTACTAGAAAACTGCCAGCAAATAGCAATATAGGGAAGCTGTGACTAGTGCGTGGTCATTAGAAAGGTTATAGTAGCAGGGATGG